TGTTTTGATCCTTTTTACCTTCTCTTTCGGGAGCAGCCCACATTTCTCTCGTCGAAGAAAACTAAGCAGTCAATGCCATTCACGGTACTCAACAGGAGAGCTCAACCCATACTGGCTTTTCCCTCATTTTTTCTCTCAGACAAGCAAGCAGGAAGCCTGCATGTCCAACATTCTAGTAGCCTAGAAGGCTCGCAACCTTTTCATTTCTCTCAATCACCAGCTTGGCCCGCGTCAGGGCCAAGAGCCTAAAAGAAAAGAGCCATGCAACTCGCCTAGCATTGCGCCCTAGTGTCTCAATCATGGCCCTAACCGCGTAAGCTGCCCTTGGCATTAGCCAAGCCAAGCGACCCAAGCAGTGGTCCCTGCCACAACACCTCATTGGCCTATGCCGAGCCGACTCTTTGCCCTTGCCAGCCGACGTGCCGCACCACCCTGACGGCTGCCCCACGACCGCATTATCCAAGAAAAAGACAAGGAAAATTACATTTTTTCTTACTTTGGTGAGGCATGGAGAAGACGAAGAAAGCAACGAAAGACGGTCCTTTACACAACTAAGATGTAGAATATTGCTAAATGAGGGGGAACAAATATCCTCTAAGCTCTCTCTCTTGTAGGGTAGAATAAATTGCTCTCTAAAGTTGATTTAATAACCCACTTAAGGTGGACTTAAATAGGCTTTGAGAGAAATTTATTTCCCTTTCCTAGAAGGATTTAATTTCCAATTAAAGAGGGAATCAACATCAAAATAGGAAACAATCTTATGTTTCCTCAAGCAAGAAGATCTCTACATCTGCTGCCTTTTCTTATGAGTAGCTCAACATGTGTGGGGGCATTTGTGGAGCCAAAAATAATCAAGAGGCGACGCGTCGATTTTTGGGTAAAATGACAAAATTACCCTCGAGGCACATCGGGATTCCTATGTGTGAGCAGTGGACAATCATCCCTCAATCAAGTCAAAAATGCCCAAAATAGGTAACAAATTCAAAGTTATTTCATCCATCCTCATCCTATATTTTCCACAAGGTAACTATTTCATAACCTTCAAAACATTCCATATAAATTGAGTTAATTGACTAATTAATGGATTTATTCCTAATTAATCCATTAATTACCAATTAAATCACCCATTTCACACAAAAAAATACCCCAAAGGGCCGGCCACCTTTTCTCAAAAGGGGGACCGGCCATGCTCTATATATTGAACCCCATTTTCTCTAAAAACCTAGGTCCACACTCCTACAAAACTCCAAAAACTCTCTAAACAATTTTCTCTCTAAATTCTAACTTTGGCATCGGAGGTTCTTCGGCCCAAGCCCCCCCCATTCATCGTGCGCGCATGAGGCTTTTGGCCTTAACCAAAGGTGTTAATTGTTTTGTAGGTGCAATTTTGTCCAAGATCAAGGAGGAGGAAATTTGCATCCACACCGAGTCTTTTGGCCGACCTATACTATGAAAATAAAAGTATATGAAAACTTTGGTTGAAAGTATTGAAAATACTGAAATATAATGTAAGGTGGATGAAGATGATTAGGTATTTATAGAAAAATGAAAAAAAAATTAATTTTTCGTTTTATTTTTTATGCGTTTTAAAATATTTTTTCTAAATTTTTATTAAGTTAATTAATCTGGATCGTTGGATTTCAAAAAAATTGAAATCCAACAGCAAAAACTGGACACATGGCCAACGGTAAGATTTCTGACATTTTGTTTAGGTAAAAAAACCTAGACTATTAATCTAGAAATCGAACGGTCCAGATTTTGTCACGTCACTAGCCATTGGTTTTGAATTTCAAAATTTTTTGATCATTGGAAATCCAACAGTCTAGAAAACTAGTCGTTGGAAATCCATCGGTCATAGTCGTGCCACGTTGCGTTTATCCCTCGCCCCCTTAGTGCACTACCAGTGTGGGCCCTTCTTTTACACCCTGTCAGGTAATGCGAGCCCACTCACGTTTATTTCCCCCACGACTGACACGAAAAAAAAAAAAGTGCATATGGCTGACATCAACCTAATGTCAACTCAACTGGGTATTGGATTAGTGGATTTTCAGCTAGGTGACTTGCTGGGCTCATGGATAGGTTGGGGTGAAGTAAGTTTTTTTTTTTTTTTTTTTTTTTTTTTTTGAGAGGGGTAGACTTGCTCTTATAGGAGCATTTCTCTGATTTTTTTGGAAATGAGCTAGCATGCAGTGCATGCTTTGGAGCTCACGTAGAATACATGTGTATGTGTGCGTATGTGTCTGTATACACACACACACACACACACACACACACACACACACATATATATATACATGTTTTGTGAACTATTTTCAGAGTTATTAGATATCTGATCAGTGAGAATTGTTTGAGATGTTCATGAACATGAGGACTTTGGTGTTCATTAATCCGAGGGATAAAATGTAAGCTGCACATTAGACATTAGAGCAAAATGGCCATTAGGGGTCACATGGCGAGTTACAATTTATGAAAGATATAATGAACACGTAAAGGGATGATGTGATATGGAATTATGTGGCAAAAGTTTTATATTATTCTCGTACTTTCTAGCGTGCGTAAAATGACATTGCTTGACTAGCATATTACATACCTATTCTACTCACTAGACAATGGTGGTTGACCCCTCACCTTAAATTTTACAGACGAGTTATTTGGCAAGACATGTACTAGATGAACTGCGGTTGTGTTAGACGAGGGAATTTAAGGAATTTATGTATTTTTGTACATCATATAAGGATTATCGAGATTATTGTTATAAGAGAAATTTAGTTTTTCGTATTTCTTTTTCCTTTTACTCGCGCGCTAGGCGAGGGGTTATTTTTTTTACTGACCTTGGGTCTGGGGTGTGACACTCTCTCTATAAATGTCGTATGCGCTTTAAACTATTATAGGTAAGGATTTAGATCCTCTTCGGATTAGTTTTGTAGGGATCCTCCAAACTGATGGTTCTCATCAATTGATACAAATCTAACGGCCAAAATCTCTTATTTTTCCTCTATTCCCTTAAACTCTTTTCTTTCTCCCTCACTTCGAAGCTCTCAACCTCGAACCACCAGCCCCCCAAATTCCAAATCAAATTCAACCTCACCTCAAAATCAGCCATAACACAACCACAACCCACCCAACCTACAACCTCAATTGTAGGTTCCTCACCTTACACTCCATAAAAATCAGCCCCAGCATCGCCACATCCCTTAATTGCAAGTCCATTAACCCTAAAATCTCAGCTGACCATAACAAAACAACAAAGAGAAGGGCCGTCCAAACTGATGTCTATTGGTTACAGAGTTCTTTTTCATAACTATGGAAGAATTATAAAGAGATAAATAAAGTTACAGTAAAAGGAAATCTCAAAGATAAAGAACAAGAAAGAGCAGAATAGGAAAAAGTTTTGGCCGTTGAATTTCTATCCCCAATATAGAACTGATTTAAAGATGATCTTAATCTTATAGATAGTTAAATAGTTAAAACATGTATATTCTATCACTCTCTCACCCTTGGTTTATATGGAGGAGTTTGCTCAACAAAAAGAAAATAAAAGAAACTAGGAAATTGAAACTGCAATGCAATGTCCAAATCCAAATGTAAAAAATAGAACTAGGAAATGGACACTGCATTACAATGTCTGAATCCAAATGTAAAAAATAGAGCAGGAAACAGACCTTGCGCATTACAGTGTTTGAATCTAAATGTAAAAATCAAGAGTCACATGAGATATGAGGTGTAGGAGATGTGTGAGTGATGGAAAAAAAAACCATGAAACAGACATTATAACGCAGCATCTGAATCCAAAAGTAAAAAAACTAAACTAGGAAATGGACACTGCATTGCAGCGTCTGAATCTAAATGTAAAAGGGAACATGTAAGAGGCGTGTGAGTGATGGAGAAAACAAAACCAGTAAATGGACACTACAATGCACTGTCTGAATCCAAATATAAAAAACAAAATTCGTATTGACTTATTGCAAAATATAAAACTATGAGAAATGGAGTATCAGCTGAAGTGGGTGTCAGCTACAGTGGCAGATTTTGTAATTTTTTGTTTATTTTAGGTGCATTTAAGTATTACTAGACATGATTGACATATTTATAATTAACATAAATATTGTTGATATATTGTTAATATTGTAACTTTTTATTGATTTTACACAAAATCACCCTATATTAATATTTATTATTCTATTATTATTCTATATAAGTTAAAAAAATTTAAGTTTTATTTATTTATTTATCTTTATTATGAGAGTTTCTTATTATCATTAATCGGATAAATTCAAATCTACTAGTATAGGCAAAAAGACAGACTTTCAATTTTAGAGTCAATGACCTAACAAAGTTTTTTACTCTCTCTCATACAATCATATACACAAATGTTATCCTTTTACAAGTGAGATTAAAACATTATAAAACACATTAAAATATAAAAATATTAAAGTAATTTAAAAATACCAAACACATTAAAAAATTATAATAATTACTTTACAAGTGCAAAAAATGTGAAAACAATATGTAAATGCTCATGATCGCATTCTCTACGTTTTGAGATGGGTAAATTGTGACGACCCATCCCTACTTTTCACTGGAAATTCTTTTTCATTGATGTGTTTTGACGTTTTTACCCTTTTTGGTCAAAAGTGGAATTTGACGTGGACGTGGTTTCGGCTTTTAGTTTTTTTTTTCTAGGGCCGTAGTTATTTAGTACTCGTCATTGCGAACACGTGAGTGCGAATTAGGCCAGAATCGGATTTGTAATGCGAAAGTTATGCTCCGTTAAAGTTGGTTAATTATAGGTATTTTTGTACACGCCCGTACAAATTATCAATGTTGAAACACTGTAAGGAAACAAATTTGTGTACATTAATAAAATTGTACATAATCTGAAATTCAAATCCTTTTCTTAAAAAGTGGGATTCAGTCCTCTTTCTTCACACAAACCACCAATTAACTTTCCCCAAAATCCTCCCCACCAATCAAGTATTTTCTCTCTTTCTTTTTTCTGTCCACCCAATAAGAACCCTCCCTTTCCTCTCTCTCTTCTTCCTTTTCTCTCTGTAACCCGAGACCTCTTTCTCATTCACTGCAACATACACACATGCACACCGAACCACCATTATCGTGAGCTCCACCACCGTGGTTCATTCTCCGGTGGCCTCATTACCCTCGAGTCCCCTCTATCTCGAAACAAAACCTGGCAGAGGTCCCTCCTCTTTTTTCTTTCCATGCATCATGGAACCACCATTGTTCCCGAAGCTTTTCCGACGAGTTCTTGTCGTTCATGGCTTAGGTAAGCCTCGGGAAACCCTAAGAATCTTCATTTCATTTTTTTGGGTTGATATTAATCTCGTGTACATATTTTGAACAAATGTTTTAGCACAGGAAACTCGAAGGGGGGAGATTGCTCAATTTTCTAGCCAAGGAACCGTGACCATTTGGTCACTTTCAGCTCATTTTTTCGACCAACCTCGACCACAACTGGACTCCTAATAGGTATAAACTTGTTCTCTATATTCCTAAATTCAAAATGACTTTTGAATCACTAAGTTTGGTTAGCTATCGAGTTAGAAATCAACTTAGGACAATACGTTCTTATCTTTAAATTGGTTTTTGTAGCATTGAATTTGGTTGAGAATCGAGCTCGATATGAGCTCGGGAAGTTGAACCTTCAACCTGTAAAACACAGGAGCCCGTGAAGAAGGCGAGTATGTTTGTACTCGTGACGCATAGGTAGCTCCCCTGTGCTCGGCGCGTGGGCGCGTGGCTACCTGTGCACCCACTTGTGGCGGCGCGTGGGCACGTGGCTACCTGTGCACCCACTTGTGGCAGCGCATGACGGTGTGTCCAGCCTCTGGCTGGCATGTGGTCGACGTGTGTGGGTCCATGGCGTCGAGTAGATCATTTTCGTATGTTTAAACCCTATGTTTGAGCAAACTACAAAGGTTTTATTTAAGTTTCCATTTATGTGTTATTAAACTATGTTAATTAGTAATTTCACATATACAGGAAACGTATCCCGAGGGCGTACGGGATCAAGCAAGGTTCGGAGGCTTCATTTCGACTGCGTATCTGTGAGTGGGTCATTTCTTTTTACAAGTATACACAAACTTACTAGTTTCCAGTTATACTTTGAAAAGAATTTACTACGTATGCCTTGCTTAGACTAAAATTACATGAAGTGGCGAAATGACTGAATTTAGGAAATTATTCTGAACCCTATAGGTTCACAGGTATGCGTGAGATACCATGATTATATTTTACAGCTATGATTAATTAATGTTACAAGACTTGTTGTGCTGTTGTGAAATGCTAAAATAATCCTACGAGATGTGCAGGTAAGTTACTTTGTTGACTACAATTATTGAATTGTTATGGCATGATTATATTTATGTTATCTGCTCATCATTGTTGCACCCTAGTGTTAGTACTCGCCCAGGTGCCAGACCTATCATACAGATTGCATTAGGCAATTCCGACTCGTATGTGATCGCACTTCGGTGCCAGCCTTCATGTGATCGTAGTACTAGAGTGCATTGATTACACTCAGTCATGTTCGTTTCAGAGATTATCTGTACGAACTCGTTTGTCAACATAGGTTGATGAGCATTCGTTATGTTGTGTTTACTATTTCAAGATTATGTGATTTCAGTCACCTTGTGCTTACCTTGATAGCTATACTTTATTAATTTTCTTAAGATTTTGCAAGTTACGGTAAGTAGTTTCTTATTATACGTAGTACGTATATTTTTGGAAACTATACTTGGTTTTACAGTGAGGGGTTATATTGTTTTTGAAAAAGTTTTTACAAAACATTATTTTCTGACCCACTCAACTTTGTTTTTCGCTCATCCAGGTTTAATAGCTGTGCTAAGTGTAAACGAGGACTCTGGCAAATCTCAGGAGATGGTTACCTTCAGTGGTATAACCCTCATCCTATTTACTATATTGTCTTATGCTCTGACATCATATGTGAAATGGGTTCAATCCTACTCACCAGCGCACTCTTTTGATTAGGCACTTTTAGGTTTAAATTTATTCATATTCTTCTTCCACTACACTGCACTTCATGGCTTCGTCACTCTCCAGGTGTCGGTCACCATAACTCAATTCAGAGTCCAAGTGGACATTCCGTGTCGGGGTGTGTCATAAATTGTCGTTTGAATTTTTAAAACCCTACAAACCCTCATTAATATGAATTTTAGGGGATTTCAAAATAAATAAAAATTCACAATAATTACAAGTGTGAAAAATGTGAAAGAATATATAAAAGCTCATGATTAAATCCTCCACGCATATAGGATGGTTACATCATCATTTAGATTCTTTAAAACCATCTAAACCCTGATGAATAATGTTTTTTTTAGTGCAAAATTAATAAAATTCATAATAACTATTGTAGAAGTGTGAAAAATGTAAGAAAGTTGAATGGTTCAGATTGATTGTCGTTTACGCTTTACTCTTCTCACATTTGTTTTCCAGATTTTCATTTTGACAACATGACCTTTTAACAAATATAGATAAATGAACGGTTTGGATTGTTGATATCACGTTCCGATATTTACGGTTAACTGAAATATAAGTTGATATTTGTATAGTTTCTAGACATTTTATAAACTCTCAGCAATATTTTCACTAACAGTAAAACTCTGAACGTAATATCAACAATGCAAATTGTTCATCTTCATGCACCTTCTAAAAGATCATGTTTTGAAACGAAAACAAAATTTGAAAAAAATAATTTTTTTTGAAGAGAAGAATGGAGCGTAAATGTAAATGACAATCAACGGTTAAATTTTGATCTATTGTTTATATGATTATAGTGGCGAATGTCAAAGTTGAACCCTTCATGAGCGTAAATGTAAATGATAATCAACAGTTAAATTTTGATCTATAGTTTATGTGATTAAAGTGGCGAATGTCAAAGTTGAGTCATTCATGAATGTTGTAAAGCTTGTCATTACAAGCATATATATATTTACACTCAACTTTGACATTCGCCACTATAATCACATAAACTATATATATATATATATATTCACACTTCTACATTAATTAATATTTATGTGATACTTGAAAGAGAAATATATTTTTATGTTTTGAAGTAATATTTATCTGACAGTGTGGTATGAATATACGAATTTAGTATTATGTTTTTCATTTAATTATTTGTTTTTTTAAATTAGCAAGTCAGATTACCTATTAATATTAGCGGGTTGGATTGGGTCGGGTCATATTACACGTTCCTTTTAACAGGTGTTACACAACATGACCCATTAACGTATCGGGTATGACACGAAAACGACATAAACATGGAAAACACTGTTGGAAAATATTAGTATTTTGGTTTATTTGAATGTTTGGTTTTCTGGGTTTAGCCCGTTAGCATTAGGGTTTCAGTTTCTTACCTTTTAGGATTAGGATTAGTTTATTATAAATAGCATGCTTGTTATTCAGTCGAGAACAAGTTAGTTACAATGTAACTTAGGGTTATGTAGTCGTTTCGGCATTTTCGTTTGTTTAATAATATTCTTATTAGCTTGTAGTCTTGGTTATAGCATACTCTGGTATTCAACTTGGTATTAGAGTAGATTCAAGGTTTAGTAAGCAGAAAAACCAACAATAAAAAACTGAATTTGGAGTTGTAGTCACCGCTTGTGGCCAAACCAGTCGAGTCCACGCACCAGATTCTGCCTCAACAACCTGTGTCATCTCACCAGTTGTAACCCAATCCAGTAGCTGATATGTTGTTGCATGCCTGCACAAACCCGATCACTCATCGCTGCACCAGAATCCCACCACCATCACATAATGTCGTCATCATGCCGCTGCAACTAAAAGTCACACCCATCGAACTATTTGCAACTACTGTTGGTAATTCTTGTCTTTGTTGTTCTTTTTTTTTTTTTTGATCTGACAATTGTATTGGAGTTCCGATGCACTCGAGTGCTTGGAATTGTGACCACTTGAGTGATAGTGTTTGTGTTTGTTCATTGCTACAATTGAGATAGGGAACTCGTCCGTTTAGTAACGGGTTCTTTCCATACTCTCAACACTAGCCAGTCTAAATCAGGATCAGTTTGCCAACCAGAATCAGATTGCCAGTAAGAATCAATTTGCCAATCCAGTCAAGTCAAGTTTGCCAGTTTGTCAGTCAAGTTAAATTAAGTCAAGTCAAGTCCAGTCAAGTTGCATGCCGGTCCACCTAATGAGATGCGAACTTGCAAACCCATGTCGTATACTGCCATGAGTTTGACGAGGGGTGTTGGAAAATATTAGTATTTTAGTTTATTTGTATGTTTGGTTTTTTGGGCATAGCCCGTTAGCATTAGGGTTTCAATTTCTTACCTTTTGGGATTGAGATTAGTTTATTATAAATAACATGTTTGTTATTCAGTTGAGAACAAGTTAGTCACAATGTAGCCTAGGGTTATGTATTTGTTTCGGCATTTTGGTTTGTTTAATAATATTCTTATTAGTTTGTAGTCTTGGTTATGGCACACTCTGATATTCAACTAACACAACACGAATGCCAAGTCTAGCATTTCTTCAATTCGTAAAACAAATTGCAACAAACAAAACAACTCCAAAGCAAGGTCAAATTGCAGAAAGAGACGTCATGCAAGCTACGACATATTCGACTCGTAACAATGATTACGAGTAGAGCAGGTTGATGCAGGCAGCAGCGGCTGCTGAACAACAAACGGAATTGCAGGTTTCCATTCAGGTTTAGAGGAACCAGAGGGACATATTCTCGTTCTGAGGGTTAATTTCCGACAATCGAAGTTGCGGTAGCACCTTTCTTGCATCTCTATGGCTTTGCCATTGTAAATTATTAGAGGCATTTAATAATCATTCTATTTTTAGTTTTTACTTTTTAGAAAACTGAAAACTGAAATCTTCATTAATAATTAGTTTTATTTTTCATAAAATAGCTTTTTGGTTTTCATTTTCCATAAAGTATTTTTTTTTTTCCTATTCGTAAGGGGAGGAAATAGAGTTTGAAACTATATATTATAATAACTTACGGAAGAGGAGGAGTTTTTAACTCAAGATGCGTAGATAAAAACCTAACACCTATCCATTTGGATATTAATTCACAAGCAATTTGTTAATGTAGTTACCAAACAAGATTTCAGTTAAAAAAAAAGTAAAAACAAAATGGTTATTATGACCCAGAATCCGTTTTTTACTCACAACTAATCACATACTTTGTATCCCACAACAATGACCAAGCATTATTTCTCAATATTTGAAAAAGTTCAAGAAAATCCACAGCCTTAAGGTAAGATGGTATTTTCATGTAAACAGGGGCAAGAAAGTTCTATGTAAAAAATGGCGGTTTCTAACCAAAGAGAAATATCCATAGAGCCAAAAAATTACCATACCAAGAAAATAAAATTGAGGAAATTTGGAAAAATAACCAAAATTTGGACTTCGAATAGAATTATAGCTATCCTTTGAGATTTATGATAATTATAACCAAAAGTTGATAACCCTCTTACGGGGCAAACACAAAACGAGGAGAGGAAATCATGTCCAGAAAATTAGGATACCCATGATGTTCAATCCTTTGTTCGGGACATTCTGCCTCGAAAACAAGAGCAAGATGTCTAGATAAACAAATTAACCCTCCCCACCATCTTAACCAGATAACAAGTTTTGTTTATCATGCAATCAAACTGAGAAAATCCTTGTGTTTGAGTTTTTTAGGATCTGTATTCAAACACTCTCCTTATCTCTCAATTTCTATTTAAAAGGTATATTAGTATTTTTGTATCAATGTTTTGTTATAATTATCATAAACTTAAAATTGTGGTTATAATCCTACATGAGGTCTAAATTTTGGTTATTTTTCCAAATTTCCCCATGAAATTTGCACTGCTTTTCCTCAAGATGCAAGTTGGGTAATGGTCCTTTCACCCCCACACTAATTGTTGTTGAAGATCTAAAATTAGATCCTACCCTTGATGGTGAACGTTTGGTTCCCTCAAAATTCCTTAACGAAAGGATATTACACAGAACAAAAAATGGAACCCCTACGGACGAGAGGTAAGGAGAAAGCAACGTAGGAGTGCCACAAATCCGAGGCAACTCAACCTCTGATACGATTCTAGTTGTTTCGATTCCTTCACCAAATGGAAATAAACCTATAGAATTGTTCTCAGATGCGGATCCGGCATCGCTACATTCGTGCGTTCTGAGAAAATTAGAATCTCAACTTAGCCACCATATCATTACTATTTGATCCACATCTCTTCTTGTACCCACTACACACAAAATTAAAACATAATATTCTTGCAATACATAATATCCTTACAGTTCTAGACTTAGATTCTACATTTAGCAACAAGCATATTGACACTATTATGATAGCATGAGTGTGACATCTTTATGATTTGCATATTTTCAACCTTCAGGCACTATAGCCTTTGTTGGAAGGATGCAACTGGCCAACTTCATGCCCGTTGCAGGCGGCAGAACAAGCTTCCGCCATTTTGGCTTCAGATACTCCGCTGTTGCAGATGTTGGCAAATGCGCGCATATGTTTCATGCCATACTGAGTCAATGACCCGCAGTGTGTTTCGAACACACGAACCTGTAATTCAAAATTTAACCTTGGAATTAAATCTTGAAGCTGTACAATTGAATAATCAAAAGGGTTAGGGTAAGTCATTACCATAGATTTTAAGCATCCCCAATCGTCCACAAGGGGTTGACCAACAGCTCTCACAGAATTGAGTTTAGAGGGACCTTTTCCGGGTCCATAGAGAAATGTTCCAATGAACTGAATGCTTGCATCCAAGTGAGTCCTATGCCTCATTGTTTCTTTGATCTCATTGAGGATTTCTCTACTTTTTCCAGATCCATGTTCTGATCTTTTGTACTGTAAAACACAAGTAAATATTGAACGGTAACCTCACCGTAAATCTAAATGTAGAACAATTTTTTTTTGTACTTTTACTTGTATATGTGATCGTGGAAAAGAGATTGTGGGAAGAAGCTCACCATTTGCCACATGTAGAAAATCTCTGCATCTCTCTGGTTGACAACTTCCATAGGCTTTTCTAATTGGCCGTTGTTAGGAGGCAAGTTCACAGAGGCAGGATCAAAACCTAGGTACAAATACAGCTTTTCTTGTGTAATGTTTTTGCTCCCGTATTCCATCACATGCGATCCCACATCGTAATTGTTTGAATTGGAGGTCCGTTGCTTTACCTGCAACAACTCACGCATGCATATTGGAATTCAATTTAATTTAATGGTTGGCTTGTACATTAGGTCCAGAATCAAGAAGTTGAGTTCAGATATTGTAAGCTCACCACCAGATACTGTTGTTCAATTGTTTCTTTCTTCAGATTGTGCCTCTCGCTGAATGTTAAAGAAAAAGGAGATTTAATAAAATAGACTTATACAAGGTCATATAGAAGTTACAAATCTTGCGTACTTTGTTCAACATATGCTCCAAACAATACCCACCATACCATGTACATATGTTTGTTTTTATTTTTCGAATAACTTATAGTCAAATTAGTTTCTTAATTATTTTGAAATTTGACATTACAGATTTATTTCTCATCTTCGAAAGACCAAGAATGCATACCTATCTTCCATCCAAGAAACACTGTACAAGTCCCCCAAGCAAGTGATATATTCAGGTGGTGGTGGGGGGTCCATCCCAGGACAGTAAGTTCCAAAGCTGTTCTCTTGTGCATTTGATGCTGTAGTCACATAAATGTTAAGGTCTTTCGGCATAATGCCTTCGAATATGCTCCCACTCTCACAAGCTTCTATATATATAACCTGCACATAATGCAATTGTGCTCATGCGCTTAACCATCTTAACCTTGAATACCAAAGGAAGTGAGAATAGAAAGTGATCTACTTACCATCTCTTTATAGCTCCCCGATGCATGTTTCTTCTTCAAAACCTCAATAAAATCCATGGCATAAAGGAAGGGCATGTTTGGCATCCCTACAATCAGATTGTAAATTGGTGAGTCCTTACTCTCATTTTACAGCTTTTCTCAAGTGAGCAGTAAGGTTGGCAAGATGACGGCAACATCTCCTCTCAAATGGATTCCAACTTCAGATCACATGAATTAATATGCTACGCAACAAACCTAACTTTATTCCTCTTGCAAGCCAAAACAAGAAAATAAGACTAGATCTAACCCTATACTATATATGCGTATGAAACAACCCATGATCATGAAGTAGTGTTCACAATAATGATACAATATAAGCTGAGTTAGCACAAGTGGTGAGCTACGGTGGGAGGTTGGGAAGTGTTCGATCTCTCCTATGTAATATATATGTAACCAAAAAAATAAAACAATGGTACCTTGGATGTCAAAGAAGAGGTAGTGAACTCACCAAGGACACCAGGACCCCCATGATCTGAGTAGTATAAAAAGATCCTATCATTAGGTTTGCTGTCCACAACCTTCCCACTTCCGCCCTTCACGGCCTTTTTGTCCCCAAGGAGGACTGCATACAGATTCGCTGCGGTTACTTGCTCACCAGTGTAATCCTAAAGCAGTTGAACCAAAATAAATTATTCACAAACATATGGAATTCGAAGTAGACGTAGCTCAACTATTACCAATTAAGTGACTGACTATGACCACAATAATATGCAAACTACATTTGTTAATGCACGCAATCTTCTAAATTAAGACCACAATAATATGCAAACTATTACCAAGCAACCAGAGTATGCTTCTTCTCCACTTTCTGCAGCCACTCTCTGGTTCAAGTTTAATGATTTTGTTTTGGTTGGATATTTCAACAATGGATATCAGAATGAATTGACATGTAATGTGGACTTACTGCATATGTACAGGTGCTGATATTTCAATACACAATTGTGGAAGAACCAAGGAAGGATAATCTTCTATAAAGGGTTTTGAGTTCGATCAGTAGAAAAAAATGGTGCAAAGTCTGTCACTGAGTGCTCTAAAATTATTTCTCCACTGGTGCAATAATTTTAAAGACAAGCGGCGGAGCAAGAGTGCTAATGAGGATACTTTAGGAATAAAAGTAGGTGGGAAAATAGCATTTTAATTTTTTGACTTTTTATGATGGGTGGAATTATAATGTGGGTGGATAAATAAGATAATGGAGTGGGTCTAGTAGCTCTAAAAAATTAGGCCTTGGGCTCTTTAGTAAATACCTTGTTTAAGAACCATCTTGGTGTTTTAGGCTATTTTCTGTTACTTTAGCTTGGGACTCATGCTTCACCAAAAAACGCAAAACTATACAAAAATACAAAACACGTTTGTAATCACGAGAGTATAATTTTACTTTTTTCAACCCAAAGATTTTGGGGATTGGAGATTAGTTAACTTAAACCCAAAAATTCAATAAGGGTAATAACTCAGCAAATACTCTTCAAATTACCAATTATTTTGTCAAACTTCCGAATTTAGTTTATGAATGCAAAGGGCCACCATAAATAAAATTGAATCACGAAAACATTTAGAAAAAAAACAAAGTAGAATATAAAGGGTAAAATGATAATTTTCTTCGAAGTGCCAAACAACTCCCTTTCTCAGGGTTAAAAAATCCCCTTCTCAAGCATCCACAAAGCATTCAAAAAGCAAAGCTTAAATTACACAAGAAACATAGGTCACACATTAATAGGGATGCTGCAATACCACCTTGTTTTCTTGCACTAATAGTCTTCTCCTACAATAGAACCATTAGTGCAAAAATGTGAACGAGACTAAATGGCAAAAAACAACTTGCAACTCCAGTGATTAAGAACATCCTGGAAAAGGACTTTGATAGATCTTATTCCACATGATATTAAATTATTGTGCCAAGACACCACCATGGCGACCTGATCCTCTCCTACTCTTATGGTTGTATTGTATAAAGAACAAAGAAAGGAAGGGAAGAAAGTAAGAGAAGCGAAACCCTGTACACACAACTAACATGACAAATATATAATCTAATTTATCATAGATGTATAGATCTTTGTTTTCCAAACAAAATGAAAGAATGTTCTTAGCAGCATTTTGGAGTTGCTTTAAAGAAAGGGTGATGCTATATATATGCACACCTCTTTTACTTGACATTCACACCCTTCTCAATTTCCTATCATTGGATCGAATAAATTGAAGAAGATCAAATGACAAAAATTAACAAGGGGTATGTGGGAGGTAAACATTAGTGTGTAGATAGCACCACCCTAAAGAAAAAGACTGTTTTGGGTTAAAAAGGACGAGTTTGATTCCATCTTATCTGATTAAAGTGTTTTTTTTTTTTTTTTTGGTGTGTGTGTGCTTGAGATATGCAAAAAGTATATGGAGAAAAAGAGTAGAGGGATGGTGATCGGGATGAGAAACAAATAAAGGATGATTGAAAACGAAATCTTGAAAGTGAAAAACTAATCCTTCCCCGCTCTTCATTTCTCATTTGAGTCATTTCCCCATATCTTAAGCACAAAAATTGAAACACTGCCTAAGTAATAAAATGGTTATCAAAAGCTCCCTAGAAGGTTGTTAAAACCAAAATGTCAAACATGAAACACTGCCGCATACTGCTTTTTAAGCTCAGCCCGCAGGAATCCCCTTTAAACCATGGAATATGTTAGGCTTTTATCTTTTTCTTTTTTGGTTCGGCATCTGCAAAATTTGATTTGTATATGCACGATAGACTTGTTAATATTCTTTTATCTTCTGAAAGAACTTCAAATCCTTTTAATTGGTTTAAGAATAAAGAAATACTAAAAGAAAAGCATAAGTAGGGCCAAATGAAAATTTGAATGTCCTCATCTTAATCTTGTATTAGCTTTTGATTTGTCCTTACCAATCTACTAGCTCACCACTCTGTGGTTAGAAAAAAACCTAAGCTCCCCTACCCACTGTTAATTACTTACAAAATGAATGAACGGTTCAAAATTAAGAAAGCATATTAAAAAAAATCTATCCATATCCATGTCACACCAAAGTATACAGTATTAAATGTAGAATTCACACACTATATTAGATATATATATATGATCTATCTGCATATACAAATAGTTATCTATTGATTTCAAAAAATAAAAAATAAAAATTGTACCTTAGGCACGCCGGCATAAACATCACCACCCTGAGGATGGTTGATGATAACTCCCGGCCTCGGATTCATTAAGTGCTTGGCTATGTCGTCGTACATAAATACCACTATGTTCTCCTCCTTAAGCCCACCTTTTTTCAGTAACTGATATGCGTGGCAAATATCCGCCTGAATATACATGATAATATTAAAGTGTAAGTCCCCAAGAACAAAGAAATTGTTATATTTACAAATTAAAAAATTAAAAAAAAAATATGAAATAAACTTCCCTTGGTTATTACAAATGTTATATTTACCTGATGCCTGTAGTTTCCATACCCGTTTGAACCGGCTACAAGAACCGCCCATCTTGTACCCGGTTCTTTGTGATGAACATCTTCCGGTTTATCTTTCTCGGATGGCAACCGGATTCCAGAGTCCCACCGCTCCAACCGGGCGGCTCGGCCTCCACCTATAGCTTGGATGAGCAGTACAAACAAAAACAACGATATCCACGACACAGTATAGTTACTAATCATCAACTTGGACTGATGTTGGACCGCCATGAAGGGTGGAGAACCGGTTCAACAAAACCGACGGTGCTAGTTTTAGTTAAGAAACGGTGGAGGAAGAGGAGGAGAAAAGAGAGCAGCGGGGCAAGGGAGAGGTTGGTGAGTATATAAAGTGAAGGGGGACTAGCGGTGCGGTGTGGTGCCATGCAAACCATGACAAGGATTTGACACGTGTGCGGAAGATTAATGAGTTGGTGGGTCCAGCGTGACTGGGAAGGGACAAGTGTGATCTACGTTTGATGTTTAGAGTGGGTGACTGTGGCGGTAGTTAAGATATTTTGGCTTTTTACTCGTAATTAGACTTTACATTCGTGTTGTGTTTTTCATGTTCATGTAGTTTTCGTGTCATACCCGATAACTTAACAGATCATGTCGTGTAATACCCATAAAAGTAAATGGGTATTATGACCTAACCCGAAATCAACTCGTTAATATTATCAAGTAATATGACCCAACCCGTTACTTATTAAGAAAAATATATTTTAAATCAATAAAAATGAAAATGAAAAACATAAGGGTAAATTACATAATACCCCTCAGGTTTGAGATATATTATAACCTCATACAACATCTTTAAAACATTTCACTTTTATACCTCACGTACTATTTTATTTCAAATTAATACATCCATTACATTTTTCATCCATTAATCTGTTAAGAACTGACATGGCTACCACATTTGTGTCACGTGACTACCAAATGTGTGCCACATGGCAAAAAAATAATCTTTTTTTTTTTTTAAAAACCTGAATCTTCTAAATAAAAAAATAACAAACAAAAAACAAAAGCTAAAACACACCTCCCCGCAACCTCTAAACCCAAAAACCTTATCCCTCCACAACCCACGCAGATGCACCTCCCTCCCCCTCCTCCTCCTCCTCCTCCTCCTCCTCTCCTCCTCCTCCTCCTCCTCACCTCTTCTCCCCCATCTTCATCTTCTTTCCCCTGCAACCTAGAAAAAAAATAAAAAATAAAAAATAAAACCCTTCAATTTGTCTTCCCCCCTCCTCCTCCCCTCTATCTTCATATTCTTCCTCTGACTCCCCTACCTTCAACCTAGAAAAAAAAAAAAAAAAAAAAAAAAAAAACTCAGATCCTGTCTACGCCGCCATCGCCAGGTTCGTGAGTTGAAAATAGGAGGAATGGGCGTGGATTTAAGGAGTGGGGTGTGTAGAGGAGGGAAGAGGGTGGGTGCAGGGGGAAAAGGGGTGGGGGTGAAGAGGAGAAAGGGCTCGGGGAAGGTCGGGGTGGGGTGGGATGGGAGGGGTTTTTGGATGGGAGGGGAGGTAACGAGAGTGGAAGAGAGGGAGGTGGGCTTGGGAGGGAGAAGAGGGGTAGGGAGAGGTTGCGGGGGTAGGTTCTACGTTTTCTAAGTTTTTTATTTTTTATTTTTTAGAAGATTTAGGTTTTTTTTTTTTTTAAAATAATCTTTTTTTGCCACATGGCACACATTTGGCAGACCCCTCAGCGCTTAATGGATCCATGGATGGAAAATGTAACGGAAGTATTATTTTGAAATAAAATAGTACGTGAGGTATGAAAGTGAAATGTTTTAAAGATGTTGTATGGAGTTGTAATAGACCTCAAACCTGATGGGGTGTTATGTAATTTACCCAAAACATAATTTGACCCAAAAAAATGTAAAACATAACACTAAATTAGTATATCCATACTAAATTTCGGAGTTGACCACTTCATAAAAGTTGTAAAACTTTTCATTATGAGTGATTACATTTTTCACACTTCTACAATAATTATTATTAATTTTATTAATTTTGCACTCAAATAAAAAACATTGTTCATGAGATTTGGAGGGTTTTAAAAATCTAAATGATTATGTAACCATCATCTGAGCATTAAGTGACACACCCCGACCCAGAATGTCCACTAGGACTCCGAATCGAGCTACGGTAGCCGACACCTGGAAGGTGACGAAGCCATAAAGTGTGATGATGTGGAAAAAAGTGAATAAATTTAAATCTAAGAGTGCCTAAATACCAGAGTGCACTGGTGAGCGGGAAGGAACCCACTTCACATGCGACGTTATAGCATAGTAAGTACAATAGAGTGGATTAAGAATCGTACCCTCGAAAGAATCTCCAATACTAAGAATCGCCACGAATCTTCGACGATAAGAAAACTCAACTAATAAAACTTGGATGGTGAAAACAAAACAAGAGTGAGTGGCCCAAGAAATGGAATTTTAATAGAAACCATCTAAAATATTATAACCCTTCGCTACAATACCTATATAGTTTCCAGAAAATCATACCCCGTATCAATATGAAATCAAAAGTATATCAATAGTAATCCATAAATATACCACAACACAGCATCTCATTAGCAATATCAATAATCATGTGATTAATAACCTATACTAACACGCACGTCGGAGTCACCTATGATGACTTGTACGACTGCACCCATAACTCATCAATCAATGTTAACTCATAAGTCAGAGTCACCTATAGTGACATGTACGACTTATCCATATCTCATCACATATGCTAGCTCATAAGTCGGGAGTCGCCTCTAGTGACCTGTACGACTCCATATCTTATCACATATGCTAGCTCATCACATATGCTAGCTCATAAGTCGGGAGTCACCTCTAGTGACCTGTACGACTTATCCATATCTCATCACATATGCTAGCTCATCATATATGCCATCGTATATGCTAGCTCATAAGTCGGGAGTCACCTCTAATGACCTGTACGACTTATCCATAGCTCAATAAGTATACCTGCACACGAGTCGAAAACTAGACGGAAGATAGTCAATTTTGCCCAAAAATCAGCCGGTGCCTAAAGCTTCCCGGTGTCAATTCGTCGTCTACGGTGGTCCGACGGGGTCAAGGTTGGTTGGGTTTTGCTCCTGGGATGATTGGCTACAAAGCCCAAGTGGTGGATCGGCCATCGCTTTTCCGATTCGCCGAAAATTTGAAAAAGGTGGCTGAAGTACTATTGATTTTCGTCTACTTTCGTGGCCTCAAACCGCCACATACCGTGGTTAATCAAGGTGGTTGTTGGGTGGTTTTTGTAGAGGGGAATGAGAGCTTCAAGATGGCGGTGGTAGCATCGAAAAACTTCATCGGAGTTGGCCGGAATCAACCTTGGACAATGGGTGGTTGCAATGGGTGTAGGTGCGGTTTTGGGGGAGCTTTCTTCTTCCTTTTTTTTTTTCCTCTTTTCTGATTTCTAATTGGGCCGCTGCCCTTTTTCTACCTTTTATCTAATTGGTCCTCCTTAATCAATTAATTAACTTTAAATAACGAACTTCAAACGTTCGTAACTATACCGTTATAATTCGGACTCGCAAACGGCTTTCGCCTATGGAATTCGACTAAAGAATACGCCAAAAGAATAAGTCACACATTCCTCTAGATCAACAAAAATCAAAATCCTTGCCTCTAGGCATTTTCGTCAATTGCCCCGATTAAAATAAATAAATAAACGAAATTTTAGGGACAGGTTGTCACATTGAGGATGCAATTATGAACGTTTATTATGCTTTCACATCTTTCAGACTTATACATTAATGATTATGAATTTTGTTTATTTTGAACTCCCTTAAAATATTATTCATGAGAGTTTGCATGGTTTTAAAAATTCAAACGATCATATACCCATCCTCAAAGCGTAGAGGATGCGACTACGAGCATTTGCAGATTTTTTTCATATTTTTCGCACATGTAAATTAATTATTATAATTTTTTTAATGTGTTTGGTCTTTTTAAATTACTTGATATTTTTATTTTTAATGTGTTTTATAATTTTTAATCTCAATCTTTACCTATAATATACTATAAAAATAAAATAAATAAATAAAACTTAAATTTTAAAATTTATATAGAATAATAATTAATAAACAATATATAAAAATTCATTATATCTATTGTATTTTATAGTAAGTTTTTTTTAGTAGTTTAAAAAATTAAAATCATCAAAATATTTTTTTTCTTATCGTGTTGAAACAGGTTACCCACATGTCACTCTCGTGTAAACCTATTAAGGACCTATTATTAAAGGGTTATTATCGTGTGACCCGATAATGACCTGATTAGTTATTGTGTTGACCCGAAACCCAATATTTTTGTGTCGTTTACGTGTCGTGTTAATGGGTCTTGTAAGAAATTGCTAGGTCTACTCTGTGACAACTTGTCCCAAATTTTACGATTTTATAAATCTTAAAATGTGAATTCACGAGAATGCCCTAGATGCGAGGGTATTGACTTTCGTGGACCAACATTTAGTGAGATGTACAAAATATTTCTATAGTGTTCCAAAGTGGGTATATTACTATCTTATGTCTTTCTTTATATCCATGCATTCAAACCATTTTTTTTTAAAAGACGGTTATTTTGATGGAGGAAGAAGGAGAAACAGAAGAGAATGAAAGAAATCAGGGTATTGGCTACCCAATTAGAGTTAAGGGAGACGGACCATTTAGGAGAAGAGGGGAAGAGAGACGGACCAATGGGAAGGAAGAGAGAGGAGAGAAAGGAGAAAAGTGCAGAGCACCTAACCCGAACCTTTTCGGTGACCCCGTTCACTCGCATCCAACCCGGTTTAGAAACCGGTGGAATTCTGACAGTTCTGAGCCATTTTTCAAGCACATTTCATCCTATTTCCACCTGCAATCATCACCATACCTCTTCCCCTACATTCTTCTATCAAGATTCGATAGAAATTGGGTCAAATCCGTGACATTTGGCGATGGTGACATCGACAGGTCTTGTGTCGATTCTCCCATTTTTGAAGCAATTTCTTCCAATTTCCACCACCAATAAACTTCCCTTGAAGCCTAGAACAATGCCCAATCATTGGTTGGAGCATCAGAGTCGAATTGGGGATGAATAAAAAACACTCATTTTTAGGGTTCCCGACGTATTCGAGGCAAATTGGAGCCTTTCAAGGCCAAATTGGGCTTGGCCACATGTATAAAGTTTTCTCTACTCTTTGAGATCTTCATTTTTTTAATTTTTGAGAATTTTTAGAAATAGTTGAGTTTTTCAACGAGTTGGGGCAGCCGATCGCCACCCGCGGCGGCTAGTACGGCGGCGTGTGGCCAGGGGGCTGTCGATGTTATTCTT